AAATCACCAATAGCTACAGACTGTGGCGCAGAGCCAGTTGAATATGTTTTTTGATTTTCAAAAGATCCATTGCCATATCCGAGAAGCACACTTATAGTGTTGTTACCAAAATTAGCGGTGACGATATCCAATCGGGTGTCATTGTTAAAATCATCAAGATCTACAGATAATGGTTTAGAACTAGTTGAATATGTCGTTGGATTTGCAAAAGAGCCATTTCTATATCCGAGAAGTACACTTATAGTGTTATCACCCGAATTAGCGACGACGATATCCAGATAGGTGTCATTGTTAAAATCACCTACAGCTACACAGTATGGGAAAGAGCCAGTTGAATATGTCGTTTGATTTGCAAAAGAACTATTGCCATATCCGAGAAGTACACTTATAGTATTGCCCCCCCAATTAGCAACGATGATATCCAGTTGGGCGTCGTTATTAAAATCACCAACAGCTACAGACTGTGGCTCGGACCCAGTTGAATATGTCGTTTGATTTGCAAAAGAGCCATTTCCATATCCTAGAAGTACACCTATAGTGTTGTCACCAAAATTAGCGACGACGATATCCAGATAACTGTCGTTGTTAAAATCACCGACAGCTACAGACTGTGGCCAAGAGCCAGCTAAATATTTCGTTTGATTTGCAAAAGAGCCATTTCCAAAGCCTAGAAGTACACTTGTAGTGTTGTCATCATTATTAGCAACGACGATATCCAGTCGGGCGTCGTTGTTAAAGTCACCGATAGCTACAGATACTGGTTTAGAGCCAGTTGAATATGTCGTTTGATTTGCAAAAGAGCTATTTCCATATCCGAGAAATACACTTACGGTGTTGCTATCCCTATTAGCGACGACGATATCCAGTTGGATATCGTTATTAATATCATCCAGAGCTACATAGTATGGCGAAATACCACTCGAATACGTCGTTTGAATGGGAAAAAACTCGTCATAACCAAGCATGATACCTGTGGTGCTTGTATCATTGTTGATGAAAGCAATGTCTGAACGATTGTCGCTGTTTAGATCACCTATAGCAATGGAGATTGATGAAAAGGATCCAGTTGAATACATTTTTGGACTTGCAAAAGTACCATTGCCATATCCGACAAGTAGAGCTATATTATCAGTACCATTATTGCTTACGACTAAATCCATTCGATTGTCATTGTTGAAGTCACCAATGCCAATAGAATATGGAGAAACACCACCGAGGAAATATGTCGTTTGGCTCATAAAAGTCCCATTACCGCGACCCAGAAGTATACCTACACTGTTATTTCCATAGTTGGTGACCGCGATATCTAGTATGTTGTCGTCGTTTAAATGACCAGCAGCAAGCGAATATGGATGGGAATTCGGACCAGTTGAATACGTGATTTGACTAGCGAAAGTACTGTTACTAGTTGCAAGTAGTATACGAACATTGTTTGTACCATAATTAGCGATAGCAAGATCCATCTGTTTGTCGTTGTTGAAATCGCCACTGACAACCGCAAACGGAAAAGAGTCATAGCCAGTAGAGTACGTGCTTGAGTTTGAGAAGCTTCCATTTCTATATCCATAAAATATGCTAACACTGTGTGTGCCATAGTTAGCAGTTACAATATCGAACGCTGAGTCATTGTTGAGATCTGTTACATGAATCCAAACAGGACGAGATGATCCAGTTGATAGAACTGTTTTGTTTGCAAAAGACCCATTTTGGAATCTGAGGAGTACACCGATGCTATTTGTTCCGAAATTTGCGATAGCGACATCTAGTCGATGATCGTTGTCAAAATCACCCACAGCAATCATGTACGGAGCAGAATCGTAACCAGTTGAAAACATGACCGGGCTTGTCACAGTGCCATTGCCATGTCCAAAATATATAGCTATATTGTCAGCAGCATAATTGGCAACAACAATATCTAGCGAGGTATCGTTGTTGAAGTCTCCCATGGCAACAGCTCGTGGACCATACTTATAGTTAATTGGATTTTGGGCCGTTGCTTTAAAATTAAGTTTACATTTTGGAACTAAGTAACACATGAACAAAAAAGTAAAGACTAATCAGTTACTATGGTTGAACTATCCCTAGTGAATTGTATCAATCCAGATGGGAGCCAGTGCTTTTCAAGAGTATGTCATTGAGTCTCGTGAAACTCATCACTCAGAATACTCATTGTACGCTCTGTTTCATTTCCTTGACAATTCGTTCACGAAGCGTATAGTGACTGTTAAACAACAGACATTGCAACTAATATGATTTAACTAAGAACCATAGACTGATTCTAACTGTATGACCAAAACCACTATCATCTCTATCTTACAGGTTCTTCTATGACATGTCATCGGGCACAAATATACCGTAATGGCAGAAATTCTAAAGCGTTTCGAAGTCAAAAGAATGCTAATAACGTTTTATTGTAACAATCCTCTAATTGCGTCATGAATGTTTTGCATCAATAATTAACAGTAATAGTCAGGATAGGGCAAGTTTTTCACTTGTATCTGGGAATATATAATGAACAGCTCAACGAATTTTTATTAATAGCATTCGCCTGAAGAATTGAGCGATTATTCATTTTCGATGTTGCCTATCGCGACCCGTGGTTCCCTAAAGTCTGATCATTCTCGTTTGTCATCCTTTGATTCATTTGTTGCTCGATCTAGCTTATCACAGCTATGTAGTTTTTAGGATATTTTGAAAATTTCAACAAAGAAGATATGCCTTCTTCTTCAGATGATCAAGTCCGAAGGATTAACTAACCTTTTCAGTACCCGGTGAGCTACTAGGAAATATGAATATAACAGGTATAACTTACAAAAAACCCATTAATGAAGAAAATTAATCAACTAATATCCTGAGGAGTGTCATGTTTACCGTTACTTAGATTTTCACTTACCAAAGTAACAGTAAGTGTTTTTATGATTGAAAAATCTCCTACATAGTAGTAATAAATGCTTAGCATAACCATAGGTTATTTATTGTTGCGTCATAATCTTCATCATTTATCATTGGTTAGGCAAGTATTAGGTGGCAGCGATTACCACGCAACAGTAAGCGGTAAGTCCTAAGTACTTTGCATTTGATTAGAGAGCTGAAAAGGCGAATCATCGTTAGCTCATGGTTTCTTGAATTTTGTAGTATCGTTATTAATTATCGAGAAACAGTCTTTTTAGAGTTCAAACCTTAAGACCACAAATTTCGAAAGGCTATCAATAAAGGATAGGGACCAATAAGAAGACAAATCAGTTCACCTAGGTATTTTCAAAACGGGTATATATTTCGATGCCGAGTGAGTCCATGGATCATTTGATGCCACATTCAAACTATTTGGAAAGCGATTCGATAATTTCTGGTGATCAGACGGCTATACATTAACAATAACTTTGTGAAAACATTTGTTCGTCTGCCTATGAATAGTATCATTTGAAAGAGTAGCGGATTCTGCACAAATTCTTCGATGAATCATCCAGAAATAGTAAATATAAACTGTATTCATGGTGAACTAATAGTGTTTCTATCGAAGTTTTGAGTACATCACAAAGATTCGCCCTTCTCAATTTCTTTCGAAAGGGCTTTACAATGAATGTTCCTTTTAAGGATTTGATGCGGTCTTTGATGGACTACACGCTGGCACAATTTTCTTGTGGATATCATAAATATACAGATGACATACCTTCCTTAATCATCTTAGACCAATGCTGGAAAACCACATAATCGGTTTTTGTTGTGATGAGGCAGTATCAACTCTCGAAAACTTTTAGGTAATAAGTCCATCGTAGAGCTACTTTGAAAACGATTGAATAGCCTGAGCCTTCATGATGTACATAAAATATCGATAGAAACACTATTGGCTCACCATAAATTCAGCTTATGTTTACTATTTCTGGATGATTCATCTAAGAATTTGTGCAGAGTTTGCTGTTACTTCAAATGAGACTATTTGTAGGTAGGTGAGGAGATACTTTGACAAACTTATTGTTAATATACAGCCACCTGGATGCAGTAACAATATGGTATAGTAATTTGCGTCAGAAGCCATTGAATCGTTTCCCAAATAGTTTGAATGTAGTATCAACTGATTTATCGTTTCATTCTGCATCGAAATATGCACTTCTTTTGAGAATTCCGAAGTCAGCCGAGTTGTCTTCTTTATGAGCCTCTCGTTTGGTAAAGACATATGATCAAAGTTTATAAAAAATTGTAATTTTCATACAACTTGCTTTCTTTGGGGCAAAAATCAAACTGATCAATATTCCCTCACTGGTATGTACTACTTACCACATACTGATAACCATACTAACGCGAATATCATGTTCCTAGATACCCTCTGTTTAAGCTCATAGATTTCTCATTTGTAGAATTCACAGCGTAGAAAAAAAACTCCAAAAGGATTCGTCGCATTGTCCATATCTCAATAAAGGAACATGTTCACGAAATTTGCAGTTTACAAACTAACCTTACGCATTGTTACCTGTGATATAAAAATAGAAGATTTTTAGCTAACTTTTTCACTTAATAAGAAAAATAAAATGAAATAAAGGACCAAGAAAATTATTGATTATTCTCATGATGATAACAGTTCAAAAAAAAAGAGTGAATCACAATTCTCGTTTCACGAAGAACTAAGAATCATCAGTCCATCTTAATTTTCAAAGAACATTTTTGAGCCAGATGTATTTTATCATAGGTTGAGCAGCTATGATGCAGGCGCAGATGTGTGAGTTTAGAGAAGAGAAACCATCTACATTTCACATACTAACACACACCAAGATGGTGATGTGTGGATGTTGATGGTAAGAGATCTTCTAAATCTTGATCATCTAATTTGTCATCATGGTTCAAGATCGTTTTCATTTCAAATATATGAGATGTTCTTTTGAAAGTATAATCCCAACATTTATAGAGATTAAATACAATTTTTTCTTTGCTAGAACTGATTGAAAATAGTGAATTACAGAATAATTTGTCTGATATCAGGTTTAATATGTACTTACTATCTGTTCATTTTCTGAAGATAATCGACCACTAACCAGCTTTTAATCAGATAGAATTATTATTTGATGGCGTACATACAAAGTTTTATAGTTTCAAAAAGCAATAACAGAAAAAATTCATTAGAAAATAATAAAGAAATGAGAACTCAATAGAAAATACTAGAGAACATACATGAACCATACAGAAAGAAAGAAAAAGCAAACGAATGTACCTGAACATACTAGAAAAGAGTCAGAAATTTTCATACGGTTTTAAAATTCATCGTTCTCACATTCAACAAGAGCAAAGGTTTTGAAACTTTGGCAGGTAACTGGACATACTTGGTACTACATAACTACAAAGTTTCAGTTCTATAGCTTGTAGTATGGATAAAAATCTGTAACAACACTACCATGTACTATTTTTTCAAATTATTCTATGAATTATACTGACAAAATTCAATATAAAAATCGCTCAACAATCTTCAGTTTTTGTTAATGAATGGTTAAAGCTCATCAGACCACTAGCTAGTGATAGTCGTAAGAAAATGTATTTTATTGATGACGGATATACAAAATTCATTCAAGCTATTGTGGTACGAAAAACAACTAAAAAAATTAGTAATTTGCGAAATGTTATTTTCTCAAGATGATCAAGATCATGAACAAAGGATGGCTTCGAATGCCGTTAAATACATTTTTTATAAAATCGAATTGAACCAAAGAATTTGTGTTGCAAAATTAGTCGACACTTAGCCTATAGAAAACGTTTAGGTGCATTAAAAGAGAAATTATCGGGACGGGCATACAGTAATATTGAATATTTGAAAAACGACGCTACACAATAATCGAACAAATTTAGTGTTACTTTATGTCAACGAATAATGGATAACATACCAGCACGGTTAAAATTAGTAATTGTTCAAGGTGGTAATCAAATACGGAAACATGGATAACTATTGTTTTTTCTTTCTTTTTATTTAAAATAGTATTAATTTTTAAAATAATAACCAACATGAACAGGAAAATTGAAAAAATAGTACATGATAGTATTGTTACAGGTTCTCATAGAATTTCTAAGACACCCTTTATAATGCTTACGCTCCTCTACAGGCAACATAAAGTTAGAACATGTAAAGAAGACGTGCACCGTAGAGAAGAAATATTTACTTTCGTCACGTTCTATGAGAAAATCACTTGTATATTCTCTTATTCTTTCGCATTTCTATTACATCTAAGAACATATCGATGAGATAGAGAAAAAGAAATCCAGAGTAAGCTGCTGTTTTCATTCGGAAAGGTGAAAGAGTATCACCAAAAATAGTAGAAGAAATGATTCGAGAACATTGAATAAGATAAAGATGATTTTTCTGCAACAAGTAACAATGCGTAGCTTCAGTTTGTAAAAAATCAGATCGTGAAATTGTTGCTTTATTGAGATATGAAAAAATATATATATAGAAAGCGCAATAATCTTTGTATTAGAGAAACTG